TGTGCATAGAGGTATTGCTCTCTCATGTTATTTTCCTGCATTATTCATAGACTATTTTCATCATTACATACCTACCAGACGTTTAATATAGAATATATGTATAAATAAGATTAGTATTCAACAACAAACTTAAGCATCTTTCTTCACCCACTTAGCCACAACTGCAGAATCGTACTCACAATCTTTGACATGGCAAACCAAGTTAACATCACAACCAAACCCATCACCAACACTATTACACACAATAGCAAATAGAAGAAAAAGACTTCCAAAAACACCACCAACCGATCTAATTTGAACATAACACTACAGAATAGGTATATCCATCCCCCCAGAACCAACCAACCACCCATCCATTCCATCCTCCCCCCCAAAACGCCATGGCTAATCCTCAAATTTTCAAACCCAATACCAATCTCAAAACTTGACAATACACACAAAAAAACTCTTCTTTTCTATTCTCCCCTCCATCTCACCCACTCCCAGCACACACACACACACAGTTTCTCTCTCCCCTTCCCTCCTTCCCAATCCACCAACTCACTCATACGCACTAAAATCCAAAGGCACACTACTCCCCCTCCCAGCCCGATACCGTTTCTGCGCATGCGAAAAATCCCTCGGTCTTGGAAACTGCGCCTCATCCTGAAAGCGCCATCTCAGGTCATGAATAGGGATGATTTTGCCCTTGACCTGGATACCAGGGGTGGCCGTGGGACTGCGAAGTGAACCGCCGTTTGTCAAGGTGTAGGAGCTTGCGTCGAGCATGGAGCGTGAGGGAGTTGGGCTGGAGGCGGCGGCGGGGCGGGCTGGTGCAGCGGTTGGTGGGGGTGGAGGTGCAGAGGCTGAGGGTGGTGATGGGGCGGATGCTGGGGGTGGTGGTGGTGGTGGTGGAGCAGCGGGTGATGTGCGGCCATGGGAGGCACCGAAGGCGTTTCTGGCTGCTTGTTCGGCTAGTGAAGGACCTGGACCGCTTGGGGCTTTGGGTGGCGGAGGTGCTGGTGCTGGTGCTGGTGGTGCTCGTGAAGAGCCGCCATCGTACTTATATGGGTCGTAGTCATCATCATCTGCTTGCGACTTTGAAGGCGGTGGTCCGGGTGGTGGAGGAGGAGTTGATCGTGCTGGTGCTCGCGGTGCACCTGGAGGCGGTGGTGGTGGTGCACTTGGAGTCGATGATGGGGGTGGTGGTGGAGGCGCTGGAGGTGCACCACCTGGTACTGGCGGCGCTCGAGCAGGTGATGCTGGGGGTGGAGGGGCCATACCAGAAGGTTTGCGAGAGTTTGGTGGTGGCAGAGGTGGTTTCTTTCCAATTGGAGGCGGTGGTTTGGGCTTCATACCTATACTAGAGGCGACAGACGATGGTCTCGAGTCCCTGAGGCTGCCAAATACAGGATTAAGCGGCGGCCGTCCGCCAGGAATGGGTGGTGCAGGTGGTGCTCCGGGAGGTTTTGGTGCTGAGCCTCGGGGCGGCTTGGGTGCTGAGCTTCGCGATGTCTCTGGGTCAGATAGATATGGGGTATTGCCCTGATCAGCGCCTGTCTTAACTCCACCCGATTTCCTCAATTTCGGCATGCCTCCAGCGAACAAGCCGCCTAGTTGGGGTGGTGCTGCTGCTGCCATGGCACTGTCTGCACCTCCACTATCACTGTTGCTCCTCGCTCGATTCCCCCTCTAGGCACCGGCGGCGCAAGTCCTCCAGGCGGCGCTGGTGGTCTGCCCATTCCAGGTACTGGGGGTGCTCCTCCTATGGGTGGTGCACTAGGACCATCGCTTACTTTGCCCACTATCGGTGAAGATCTATCGTTGATCTGTGTGACTTTCTTGAGCCGTGCGCCCTTGCCAATATCGGACAGCAATGCTCCCTATGCCATGTTAGTTGTCGTTGTACCTGCCAAACTCCTCTCCCCCATGTCAACGGCGTCTGTTTGCTCCTGGGGTTTGCCTAATGACGTACTCTCCCTGCTCCTGACGGCGGTTTTGCTCCTGGTGCTTTCATTCCAGGCATTGGCGGCGGTGGTGGTGGCCCCCCGGCGCCTCGTCCCATGGGCGGCATGGGCGGAGGGGGAGGTGGTGGTGCGGGCATTGTGACGTGTGCGCTCTCGTTTGGTGTTGAGTATATCTCCTTTTAGTGTAGGAACATGTGCAGCTTCGGTGATATTTTGCTGCCTAATTTTTGCTGAAGTTTGGTGTTGAGCGTCGTGTGTCTTGGACTGTTTCCTTGGAACATTCGAGTGCAGTCACTGCCAAGACTTCCAGCTGCGCATCCATCATACGCAATACCCAATACCTACAGCTTTCACGCTACGCCCGGGTTGGCAATCGAGTAGTCTACACCATTTGGAACACCCTGTTCTTTCCCTTACAACCACCACATAGTCCGTACCTGGGTAGAGAAAATAATGACTGCACTGGTGGTGCCTTTAGGTCCATCTCCTGTTTCCAAGAGGAGGCCCGCCATAGAAACCGGCTAACAAGGATCCTATGGCAACAGGTCTACTCTCATCATGGTGAAATACCAGCGTGGGAGGTTAGTCATTCGGGGTGGATAAGACAGCGCGTGCTTCCACCTCCCAAACCACGTCGTGGACCTGTAGGGACATTTTACCGTCATCAATATGCTTACCAATGCTATCTATATCGAGTAAACGCCTATCGCCCACTCTTTATCCAGGCCGTCGAGGCGTATTACCTGAAAAACCCACAGGAAACGCGTACTTGCCTTACGGCTGGGTGCAATGTACAATTTACGATGCCAGGCCAATGGGCGACCCATAGTGTTGATGTTGGTCACATAGCAAGAGCTATTGTCCCTCCCAGTGAACAGCTTAGGACTTTATTCAAGGACCATGTTGCTAGGGTCGAAGGTTTCGATCCGCATCGCGTAGAGGAAATATCGAATATGCACATAGTGTGGGGCAAGAAAGGTAGCCAGCAGCGTAAAGTTGCAGAAAATGCCTTCCTATACCAGTTACAGCATGATCCCTTATTTATGCCCGATAAGTCCCCTGAAGAGTGTTTAGTCTGGTTCGACTACCAGGGTGACATATCCTTGTTCGACTATTACGATCACATGGGCAATGGGCAATGGGCAATGGACCGAGTACTCTGATCACATGGACATGAGCAATAGGCAATGGGCCTTCCTAGGTAGTTCACCTGCAAAATAGCGAAGCTCTCCATGGTGTAACCGGTCTTGTCTACCTACGCCTCCTCGCTACTGACGATACTGTTTATCACAGTATTTAGAATATACCTAGAGTATATATTGCTTGCGCAGGATTTCCCTTCCTGGCCATAAAATGTAGTGGGAGACAGCAAAAGTGCCATTTTCCATGCGTTGCCCACCGTGTGAGCTGTTGCCAAGCAAAGCCTTCATTTTCGCACGTGTTTGTCTCTGCGCGTCACTCCCGAATTCAACATCTAATAATTACTGAAGCAAATGCCAATCACCCATTTCACGTCATGAAACCCGGAAGCCTGCCAATTTGCCTATCATCCCGACCAGTATGCCAATTATGCCATTTCATACTGCGCCAGCCTACAAATCGCCGCGCATTCTTGACCGTGCCAACTCTCAAGACACCTTCGATACGAAGACAAATAGCACGACCACGAACTCCTGTACGGAGCGTCAGCACCACGTCTAGCTATCTGCAAGATATCGAAGACAGAGATGCGCAGGAGCTGAAGGTTCTAGGCAAGGGATATGTGTCTCTATCTGAGAGTATTGCCACATTAACGGCGAGATTTGATCAGGCAATAGCAGAGATCAAGGCAATATATGATTCACCCAAAATTGAGAAAGAGAATGTAATATTACACGTATTAGACGAGCTGGAGCATGTAGCACGCCAAGCCATCGCAATTCGGGCACGCCAACCGTTGCCTGCGAAGGCCCCCATCCGACAAAGCTCAGCAGGCGCAATACTATCAGGCTTGGGCGGGGAAGAGAAAGTTGAAAGTACAAACCGCAAAACAAAACCAAAACCCCTGGGACTTGATGCCCTCCCATCACCAGCATTCATTTCACAACTCGCCGAACAGCTCATCAAACATGAGAAAGTCTTCATTTCGCCCAACGTCCTCGGCCTCTACATCCACCTCCAACGGCTACTCGCCAACCCACTAGCCATCCCAGAAGCCCTCTATCTCTACGCCCACAAGCCCGTCCCCGTAGAAGGCTCTTCACCCCCCAAATACCTGCACCCCTCCCCAACTCCGCCAAACAAGCCATCCCCGCCGACCTCGCTGACGAAGCCATGACCGCCGCCATCGAAGCCAAAAACCTCCAACTCGCCCTCTCAGTCGTAGACCACACATACCGCACAAAAGCATGGCGTCGCCACCGCGCCTTCACAAAGCTCGGCCTACCCTCAACCATAGCCGCCATCATGCCCCTCGCAATCTACATGATCGCCCAAGAACTATCGGTATACAGTAACTTCATCGATCCATTCCTCTTCAAAATGTACGCTTTTGCAGGAATAAGCACTTACGTCTTGTGCACCGGCACCCTCGGCTTTGTCGCGCTGACAACACACAACGATCACCATGATCGCGTCGTCTGGAGACCGGGTATGCCGCTGTATGATCGCTACATTAGGGAAGATGAGCGCGCGGCGCTGGATCGCATTGCGCTTGCTTGGGGCTTCAAGGAGACGTGGAGGAGAGGTGATGAGGAGGGTGACGATTGGGAGGGCTTGAGGCAGTGGATTCTGCTGCAGGGTATGATTCTAGATAAACCTGATCTCATGCACGGCATGAATCCTGGTAGATAGAATTTGGTAGTAACACCATTGTGTATATTACCTTCTAATTCACTACATTTGCAAAAAAAAAAGCGATATATGTTGCTAGTCACCAATAGATATTTCGTTCGTATAAATGCACGATCATTCTCTGTCCCAAAAAAAGGGATCAACATCGGTAAAAGCTATCTTCATGGCATCTTCATGTACATGAAATGGCAAAAAAAGAGAAGTTGGTTCTTCGGTATAATGCGACACCTGTGTGATTCGAACACACGCTCCCGAAGGAACTGGCTAACTTCCAATCATCCGATTGGTTAGCAGGCCAGCGCGTTAACCACTCCGCCAAAGTGCCTTGGAGAAGTTGATGTACATCTATTGAATTTTCTAATTCATATGTGGAAGCAGATTATGTAGCGACGATTGAGCGTAAAGCTTTGTGTTAGGTGGGGCAAACGGGTACCGTGGCGAACCCATGTAATTTATGACGTGTAATGCTTCCTGACAGCCGTAGTCATGGAACTAGCAACGCAAGTATCCACACCTCCAAGTATCCACGTGCACAATGTCCGCGTCACCTGGAAGCACCTGTTGTTAAAAAACAGTTAGGCAATGCACTTTATCAAACACATAGAATAATACCGAATCAGGTGGGGTAGATAGTGTGTTGTTCAATACAAGCTAACCTTGGAATATCTTGGTGGGCACCTCGTCTCCAATCTCAAACCACAATATAATTTAGTTTGTCTTTTGACCTTGCACCCTTATGCGCCCTTTTTAAAGCCATTGCCTATTCTTCATAATCTCGGTATCAACGGTGACTTTTCAAAGAATTTTTCACAAGATGCGTGGAGGATGGCACAAGACAGGCAAATAGAAATAACTTCAAGTTTTCTTATCGTGTGGGATTGGAAAAGAAATTTTGACTATCTACTGAGTAGATACAACATGTCAGTTTTTTATTCTAAGATCCTATGCTACTATATAGACATTACGGTCTGCTTGTATTTTGGGTAGATACCTATGAAATGCTTGATGTACGCGTCGAAAATGACTGATATCCTGCCGCTATCCTGTAGTAAAATCAACATGCCTTATCATACGAGTACTCGGTGCCTAATTAACCTACTTTGGATAGTCTTTGACCACCCCTTTGGGACACCTGTACGTCACTGCATGGCCTGACCAAGTCCTTGCTTACGACGTAACTTCGTGCATTGAGGAAAGGAAATGAAACATCAGCCACGCATCGTAGGATTCTTACTGATATATCGAACAGGGTACCAGGCGGGTCAGTGAGAAAAAGCCGAATGGTTGGGATGTGCCGCGACACCGACATTTGAATCAAGAAGCCCTTCAAAGATTGTTCCTGCCGCACAGATCATCGTGCTTTCTACGAGTCAGAAGAGAATGGGTACTCGAAGTGGAGCTTCACGGCGCTGACCGGATGTCAATCTTCAAGCTATCATTTGGAGTTTCTTGAGTCATACCCTCATATCTAGCTTGGGAGCTACGTTCACAACTTCACAACCACGGGCAGGCAATCTGTAATTTTTGAAGGGCAAGTTGGACATTGTTAGATTTTGCAGCCTTGCATCAAAATGAGGGCTTACTTGTCGCAGATCTAATCAAGTTCTGATGAGTACCGATAAGCGGGATTGAAATGCAAGCCAAGATCCAACGTACCTAGGTAACGCAGAAGCTTTCACAGATTTGCTAGTTCCATTTTCGGTGCAGTTTAAACGCATTAGAGGCTTACCTATTGTGTAGTTTTCGTGCAGGTGGTTGTATTAGAGAGGTAATCAGCCCAGAACATAACATGATCGCAAACCTTAGATATCTTAGGGCAGTCAGGTTACGATCGGCCACGAAGTATCGGGTTGGTGCGGCAAGGTCACACATTTGTAGGCCACCCATAGTCGGAGTTCATATTCCGGTTTCTTCTTGTCAGCCTTATTTCGCATTCTTTTCTGACATCATTGAACTCGTGAAAAGTCTTGTTAGTGTCATTCAGGTACGAAGAATAGCGTTCATAGCTAGTCAATCTAACGCGTGTATCAAGACGTCACAGGTAGACGATTAGGCAATCAATGGCCCCAATGCGTAGGATGCGAGAAGTGAGACAGTAAGCTGACGCGAGTAATCGACCATGCGACCAATCAAAACTTTGTGGACCACAATTTTCGGCACGGAGGGAAGTATCCCATCGAAAAATCACAATACCATACGAGATCTCACTTAGGCATCTCGTTGACGCGGGTTATGCCGTGTCAACAGTGAATTCCACTTTTCCGACCTCGCCGATTCAGTTCATGAACAAACCTCAGATAGGAACCTTGATGTAACACAAAAGCAAGCCAAGATCCAGACCTCCGGACATTGAAAGCGGAGATCCAGTACATGCGAAGATCGCGCGACACCACGTTCTCGCGTCACGAGCTCACGATACTGCAGGCACAGTTGTTACGCCGTGGCCTACATCGGACAACTCGGAGGCCGCCAGCATGGCCCTCGTATACGCACAGCCCTCACACCGATGTATCATTTGATGTGGGCTGGCAGTGCATAACACATGTAAGACCGCTCCTGCAGGGGTACGCGAAGAGGCTGAGACAAGTTCTCGGAGGCTTGTTGTACCACAGTAGGTTACTTCAACCTCGTTCCTACTCCAGTCACGTTAATTGTGGATGCTCCAGAATACTGATGTTGTGTGATCTCATCTGTGGAAAGTTTTCTTGAAGAATACAATAGTAAAGATAAAGGTTATTTACAATGAGGAATATGTAGGTCAGATACATCATACAGGGCACATTAGTTTGCAAAGCTGCGTTGCCTGTCGTGCGCTTTTCGGGCGTTTAGAGGTGGTACAGCAGAGACTGAAGCTGGATTGAGTTTACTAGTTGCTACTTCGTGCTAAATACAATCATTCGTGCGGGAACGCGATATCAGGGACTCAAATTTCAAACAAAAAAAAACGAATATCTATGACCTTGATATGCAAAATCTTTGAGAACCGTTCACCAGAAATGTCCGCCCGCCTTCTTGCAGGCGCTAACAGTTGACGTTGGCGTAACGGTTGTATATCTCGTGAACGTGGCTCCAAACGTGGTCACTTTCGTTATTGTAGTGGAACTCAATTTGAGTTGCGTTTTTGTTGGGGTTGGAAGAGTGACTGTACTGGTGAACAAGCCAACCAAAACAGTAGCAGGTGGTAGAGTCAAAGTAGTAGTAGCACTGAGCAGCACAGTCTCGGTCGTCGTCGTAACTGGCGCGAAAATAGTGGTGGTTGTATTCACTGGTATACTGCCAGTGACAGTAAGAATTGGTGCATCTGGCGCTCGGCGCTGGAGAGGTGCAGCCCCACGAGCCATTTCCGCACGCCTTCCTTTAGCAGCTTCGATGCGAGCACGAGCCCAGTCAATGTCGACTGCACGATCGGCTTTGCGCATGAAGCGATGCATTTTTGGGATCTTGGTGGGGGTAACCATCGCCGCGGGGTGTAGCTTCGTGGGCGAGTAGCGGCATGGCTTGTCTGGATGGCCTGGAAGGCCAGGAGTGGTGCAGGTCGCTGTGACTGTCCGAGTAGTTATGGAGAATACCTTGGTATGAGAGATCAAAGTTTTTGTCATGATCTTAGTGGATGTGGTAGTTGTAGCTGGAGGAGTGACGGTCTTTGTTTCTTTTGCAGTTCCGCTAGGAAGTGTGACAGTAGAAAGGGGCCCAGTTGTAATGACATTTGTGAATGTTGTTGTTGTGGTTTGTGTTTGTATTGGAGTAGAAGTAATGCTGAAAGTTACTGTTGGTGTAACGGTGGATGTAACTTGTGTGCCAACAGTGAGATAAAGGTCTCTCTGCCATGCAAAAGGCTGTCCACCGTCACCGTTATTTCCTATGACGAGGAGAAGCCAATGTCCTGACTTCATTTGATTTTTCTGAATCGGACAGTTCGATGTTTTGAGTTCATTTTCTGGGTAGGTGGGAATCTGATCACACAGATACTCCTGGGAGCTAACACCCTCAGGTTCGACGAGTAGAACATCAGCTATGTCCTGATTGCATCCTTTGAAGTAGGAAACAGAACTGAATTTTTCAGTAAGCCGTGAGTCGATGAAGTATTGTCCTTCATCGACAAAGTCAACGCCATAAGAGTAGCAGATAGCATTAGGGTCGGATTTGGCAAACGAAAGTAGAGCAGCCAATGCTACCAGGAAGGAAGAACGAGTGAAAGTCATGATTTAGGAACCTACAATGGCCAACTGTGAGAACAATGATATATACCTAGACTACTAGATTCGTGCCAACAAGAGAGGATGATACGTTCTTTTGTAGCATTCAATGTTCATGCTACGTGAACACACCATAATTGTGGCTTATCATCGCTTTCGCTCAACCGAGTCCCAGCAGCACAAGGCATGGTCAGGCGTCTCAGACACACATGAAAATAGCTATGTCGAGTATCTGCCTTTACGGAGCACCACGGAACGGGCTGAGGCAGCTTGGCCTGGTCTCGGCAGTTCAGAAGTGTAAGCATGTTGCTATGATCCTTGATTGGCAGACTTCGCCTCGTGTTGTAAAACTCATCCACGCTGACGCAGTAAGACGTACTTGAATAGGAATGTGTGGTAACATCTGGTGAATAGTTTAGAAAATGAAGCCATGCCACGATGCGGCCTGTAGGCAATCAAGCCACTCGGGTTGGGATGATCAGTGCACCCGTGTGCAACGCCAGTGCTGCGGTTCGCGCTAAGCCAGATACGATTCTAGAGCAATTGTTCACGTCACCGCTTCCATGTCCGTTCAGCGTCAACAATGTGCATGCCACCGCAACCCATCTTGTAGGCAGATGAATTGCTATTGTTAGCCCCCTATTACCGGCTAAAGGCCTTACCCTGGTGTGTATGGCCCGGAAGTCATCCGGTAATCTATCCGTCACTACGTCTGCCACACGCCGCATCCGAGTATCTGAAACCTTTCAGCTGGGTCACACTCGAAGTACCGGTATGAGGGTATGCTAGCCACCTTCGCTGTAGACCGATCATTTGATACATGGTTGCTGCAGCTCACCATAGCTTGTTGTTGCATTAGCGAAAAGAAAATCAACAACCACCACAGCTCTTCACGTGCAAAGTCGTGCATTCAAAGTGACGTCTAGTAGTGCTTGGTCACAAGGCTAGTTAAGACTATTCAGCTGACTGGTGCCGCAGAAACTACGTACTAAACGAGTTTACATAACACCTTTTATCACAAGGAAACAAAGTCCTTCGAGAAGTCAGCATAAGCAACGAATCCTAATCTTGAATGTTGCCTTGCACCCCCCTTGATCAGTTTTACTAGAACGCCGGACCATGATGTACA